TGTGCATGTTATGTTTAGCCTGCTCTGACCGGGTCAACTTCAGCTGGTCGTAATGAGGCTGTCAAGAGCTGTGTTTCGGCAGACTTCCTGTTTCTGGAATCTTATCAATGCAACTGCTGAGTAATAATTAATAGATAAACGATGGATCCAAACGCAAAGACTGAGGTTGAATTTTATTCTATAAAAAATTCCAACTGTCCCAATATAGTAATGGTAAATTTTCTCTGTCTAGAAAGTAATTTCTGCAAATGAAATTTAGCTAACCCAGCTCTAACTCAAAGTGACATGTTTTTTTTTTTTTGCAGTCAGACATTTATGGAGACAGTTTATTTTGACAGATGGGACACAGGAGTCTGTCTTAACCCCTAACCCAGCCAAACAGGCTGCCTTCTGTCAAGTCTATGTGACATGTCCAAAAAGTCAACATGTCCAGTATGTGAGGACTGTAATCTTGGACCATGGACCAAACAACTGCAACCTACTGCACGTCCTCATCTCTCAGCTATAGAGTGGTCCAATTGTTTTGCCACTTGTTCACACCTATTTCATCCTCCTAATTCTCCTCTGCTTCTTGTTTTGTCCCATGAGTCCCTTCTCTGTTGGTGTCTTCCTGTTTATGCTCTAGCCGGCCAATAGTGTTTGATCCTGGAGCGGAAGGAGTCAATAGTGTTTCGTCCTCACCAACACAGACATTGGGTGGTGTGTGTGTGTGTGTGTGTGTGTGTGTGTGTGTGTGTGTGTGTGTGGGGGGGGGGGGGTCTCAAATAAATAATTCAGCTGGGAGTTATTCTAGCTGTCGTCTGCACCACATCCCACATACAGGTCTGCCTTACATCCCGTATACACACACCGAAGTCTGCTCTGCATCCCATGTAAACACGCACACATGCACATTCACACATCATTAAATATTTTTAACCTACAGGCTTTGCATGTATCCTTTTAACCCCTGCTCTGCTAAATACTTATCAGCCTTTTTTCCCTCAGTTTAAGTCGAACACATGAACTCCTGAAAACGACAGGAAGTAAATTTAATTTGAGCTGCTCTACTGTGATGACCCTTTCATAAAAGAAGCTCAAAGCTCCTGCCATAATAACGTCCATCATGTGGCTGCTTTCAGTTGTTGAGAGGTGTCATACAGGAAGTTTCACAAAAACTATAAAATCCACTGCCTGCATCAAACTTCTGGAGTGTACTGAAGTTTAAAATGAGTTAAGGGTGAAGTCATTAGCTGTAATTACACCTTAGTATTGAATAGATCATGTGAAAGTATAGGAAAAATTCTAGTTGAATTATCTCTTATATATAAAATTGTAGGGCCTAGCTGGTGCATAATTGGACAGTGACTTCAAAAAAGACATACAAATACAATACTTAAAGGATGATTCTGCTTTAGTACAACTTGGGCCTTGTTTTCAGATTCTATCATCCATTTCTGATAATTGAAACCATGTTATTTTTTAGGTAAAATCAAAAGTGAATGTCTGAAATATTGGGCTTTTTTTTTTCCTTTTTTTTTTTTTTTTTAAAGAAGTGCTGAGAAATAAGATAGTGGCATATCCTGAGGAGGCCACCAGTGTCCTGGTTAACAAGAAAAACAGTTACAGTGTGTGTTGTGACTCATGTCAGATGTCGCCAGGGTGTGTTGCGTTTAAGAACCAGATGGTTATAAACCAGAATGATCCTTAAATATTACAGAGTGAATTGTTGAAGTGTTTGAAAAGTTACTAGAGCCACTGTTAATTATTTCTGTCTCGAGTAACGGAACAAAACTGAACTGAAAAACTGGTCGTCTTTACTTATCTCCTAATGTGCCAGAACACAAATAAACTCATTCTGAGGTCTGACTTTACATGTTTGAACAAACATAAATCAAAGCATTTGGAGAATAGATCAAATGTGTCTGTTACTGTAAATCAGCAATCAGTGGGTGAAACCGGCGGCTGTCAGAGCTTCTGGGGGATAAATCACTAGAGACAGGAAATGAACCATTATAAACCCTCTGCCTTTTCCTGCCCCACGGCCAACATGCTCTATCATCTAAATCTGACACAAGGTAAACACATACACACACATACACACACACACACACACACACACACACACACACACACACACACACACACACACACACACACACACATAGTTATTGCAAAAAACCTTCATTGTCACATTCAGATCTTTTCAAATCCTCTCGGCTCAAACGCTCCTGAATCCCTCCGTTTATTGATAATCTGACCTCAGACTAGGCGGAGAGATTCGTCTTTAATTTAACCTTAATCTAATTCTTAATCTCACACATCCTTGTTTTTTTTGTTTTTTTTTCATCTCCTTGTGCCTAATCTCTATAATTCCTACCACCATTACCCCTGAGACATTTCCATATTTTATTTGATATTTCAGTAAACGTTGACCCCTGACATTAAAAGAACTGCTATTATCATTCAGAGAAGACTTAAGAGTGTATCATATTTTTGACTATTCTAAAAAGACCATCAATCTGTTGATGAATCTGATTCTCCTTGATTTAGAATTAAGCATCTACATTAAATAAAATCAACGCAAATGGCTTACGACACCAAAAACAACCATCTTAAGTGGATCCTACAATTCCCATAATGCCATTCAGTATTTTTTAGTGATTGCCTGGGAACTCTGTGCTCCCTATACAAGCCTTCTGTTAATAAATTTAGGCTTCAAAACCATGTCAAATAATCCTGGGGAACTAAAATTGGTGCAGTGCCCCTTTAATTTTGAGGACTACAAAGTGCAGCTTGTAGCACGTAAAACCTTTAATTACTTTTAAGTGACTTGCTAATTTTAAAGCCGCAACCAAGCTAAATATTATTCCTCCACCTGTTTGTACTTCAGACTCCATCCTTTGAGGTTACTTTGTCTAGAAGAGCTTACTCATGTTTTAAATGTCAAAGATTGTGATATGTGGCATATTGTATTTCGGTTTTACCATTTTTTTTTTAATTGGCCAGAATAATTGAGTTACATTATTGAAGTCCTCTGCTTTACATACATCTGCCCAAGCTTGTAGTGAAAACATATGAAGCTTCAGGGGAAACGAGGTTGAGCAGGAACATTTTAAGCGACAGGAGAAATGATCGCCTGCCATCTGTATGCATTGTTGGTCAGACGAGGGGGATGTGAGGAGTTACTGTATTACTGTTGTTAGAGTTACTGTTGATGTGAATGAGTGTGAACATGCTGGCGAATAAACTGAAGCAACAGAAAATGTTTGTGTAGCTCAGCAGGGCAACGTCTTATAAACTGACCTCCTGAGGGTCAATTCACATTTTCACCAGTCCCTGCTTCTGTGTGTGTGTGGCACACTGGGTCCCCCTGCTGTCTTTACTGGCATTGTGTGTGTGTGTGTGTTTGTGTGTTTTGTGTCTGTGAGAAACTGTGAGAAAAAGCAGAGAGAAGCAACTCTGTTCCCTCTGGCACTAACATGAGTGTTGTTTTTGGACCGGTTACAGTCCACACATTAGAAATCATGTTTGCGTTACATTAGTAACATTCTTGGAGTTCAATATTCTGCCAGCCTGATGCGTTCACATGTTGGTCTGAGTCTGGGATATCTGACTCTTAAAAGATCAGCTGCAACAAAGCTTTGTATTCAAGAGCTCATTCACCGAACCTAGGAGGTAAAAAACAAAACATGAACTTGTGATTTTTGGTTTTTCATTAAAAAAAACAAAGTTTATGAATGTTGGTCTTTCATGTGTCTGCAAGTAGATTTTTCATTACATCCACATTGAAGCTAATGGAAGGCAGGGAATGGACTTATAAACCTAAAAAAACGACACTTCAGAATGATCAGAAACATGTAAAGTGCAGAGTTTGTTTACAGGTTGTAATATACTTTACTGAGAAGTTTAATCATTTCAAATCTACCACTTTGTGTGTTACATTACTGGCAGTATCAGGATGGATACTTCGCCAAATAGTAATATAAGTCCATAATTCATTTTACTAACATAGATTTTCTGGATAATAATAGCAACACATCATGTAGAGGCAGAACGAAGCAGCACATCCACATCTGTCCATAACTACCTTCCCTCCCAAAAAGAGATTTAACAGTCGATGTCGAGCAAATCTAACCACATTTTGCACGTTTAAGATAAGTTAACTTGCCTTTACACTGTACGCCACGACCGTCTATACATATTTATGTATTTCTATTCAAATTTACAATGCAACAATACATATTAGGTTTATTTCCAGGCTTCAGTCAAGAGGCTGAAAGGAAATACATCAACTCACAAACTGTAAACAGACTTTTTTAAAAACGATTGCTATCGACCGAGCGATCTTTGATCTGAGCCACTGATGACCATATTTCATCGAGATCGAATCACAGACATTAATGCAGCAATCTGATCGATCAACACCGAAGACATCGAGAATAATAAATCATTAACATACAGTGTGTGGTGGAGGGGGAGACAGTACAAGTACATCTTTGTTATACTCACTTATAATATTAATAATAATCTCTTTGTTTTGATGTTATAAATATACAGAGGACATAATCACAAGCTTTTGGTGTGGTAATATAACAGTGTCTGGTTAAATAATCAGAGAATCTAGCCGGATAATGTTGGTCTGATGTGGTTTTTAATTGCAGTTACTCTTGATTCTATTATTATAATGAGCTCAGACAGTTCTGGGAAGTCCTATGTGAATAAATGAATTAGATTGTGAAAAGGAACTTTAATCAGTTCTGTTGCTTGTTCCTTTGTGTGTGTGTGTGTGTGTGTGTTTTATTTATTCAGGTTTTTCCATATTCTGTCACATGTAGTTTTTCTCTATCTGTGAAATGTGAAACTGGTGGGGGGCGGGCCATCTCAAACTCCGCCTCACTGGCTGGCACAAATGAGGAGGGGGGAGGTGTGTGTGTGAGAGAGTGTGTGTGTACGTGTGTGTGTGAGAGAGCGTGTGTGTGGGCTGCGCCGTGCAGTGACAGCTCAGTAAGCGGCTGAAGTCCTCGGCTGTGGCGGAATGGACTGCCTGAACTTTCACCGTGATGTCCTCTGACAGAATATGTGGCCGTGTGTGAATGTGTTGTAACTGTGTGTGTGTGTGTGTGTTTTGTGTGTGCGTGTGTGCATGTGTAAGAGGGAGGCATACATGTACCCGCATGCCCCACAATGGCTCTGAACCGAGTGTCTCAACTCTGCCACGATATCACCAGGCTGTGGCTGCAGCTGAAGATGATGACAGGTACAGTGTGTGTGTGTGTGTGTGTGTGTGTGTGGTAAATAAGAGAGGTAGAACAAGACCTGTGAATTTGATATTAGAGTGTGTGCGCAAAACTTGCTTCGTAGAGAAAGACAAGAAGACTGAGAATTCTGCAGGTGCTCCCCTGTGTGTGTGTGTGTGTGTGTGTGTGTGTGTGTGTGTGTGTGTGTGTGTGTGTGTGTGTGTGTGTGTGTGTGTGTGTGTGTGCGGGTGTGTGTCGTTCACACTTGTCCAGTGTCAGTCGTTATCATGTGCAACGGCTTCACAGGTAGACCAGGTGGTTAAGTAGAGTTAGTGTTTTATGTTCGTCCAGCCTGTAATCCGCAAAGTCTGAGAAGCTTTAGTGTTCATCACATCCTAATAACTATGCAAAAATGTTAATTAGATATCTGTTAATTAGATACCTGGTTCAGGGCTGCAATCAACACTACAGAGTAGTGATATGGAGCAATGTTTTTATGCGTTTGTATCATTAAAGCGCACATTAAAGCATGCACATACACGTTCCTGCATGATTTAAAATACTTTGCAAATATTTAAGTTATTATATTAGGTATGACACATTCTTGCACGTTTCAAGCTAACTATGAAAGTATATCTTTCCACACATTTGTCCATGAAACTAAATCTCTAAAAAATGAGGATTCTATGGTTTTTATCACTTGTATGGAACCATACATGTGATATTAAAGCCTTGTAAAATCTCTTTAAGGAGACTGACAACTCACTGGCCGAGAAGCCAACTGCGTGCGTTCAAGACCAAAGACTGTAAGAGACAGAGACTGCGCAAAAACCACCACAAGACCAGCAAGTCTGAGATAACTAGAAAAAGAACTACATTCATCTCACAGTTCTTTTACAAAAATCATTCATAGAATCTTTACCAAAAAAATGTGTTTGTGGAAACAGGAAAAAAGCTGAGACCAAGAAGTCAGCAATGTCACCATGAATCATCTTCTGTAGGCCATGAATATCCTCCCAGAAATATTGCAATCTGGCCAGTAGTTGTAAAAATATGTTGGACAAAATGTTGAACAGACCGGTCATAAACTATCATAGCACACACACACAAACATTCAGAAGAATCATCATTGTGTAACAAATCACCCCTGCTTTATAAATAGAAATAAAAAGCAGTTTATAAATGAGCGTAAACCACTTTATGAATGATTTAAATGAATGAACATGACCTGACTTTGTTATCCACATCGATTTTGTCTCATTGCACAAAGATGCTTTTTCCTACTCAAGGCATTACTGTCCATCAGTTACATAATCCAATCTAAAGTGGACAGAGTGCGTGTGTGTGTGTTGTTTTTTTTCCCTGAGGGTCCTAACTGTGTGTTTTTTAAAGTGAAGTTTGTCCTTCCTCACTCAGTACAGTACACATCAGCGCACCCTGACGGCATGTTAATCACGTTTGTCCCATTAACACAGAGCGTTTCCTCTTGTCAGTTGGGAGCAACATGAGGACAAAACCCCTTTGAGTGTTTGAATGTCAACAACTCTTCCCCTTTATTTCCACTCTCAGCCGTGTCTCTGTGTGTCCATTGGTTGACTCGCTTATAATATAATAAGAGTATATGAGTGTTGACAATAATCCATAGAGACTTTGTCTTGCTTTTCTTGGCTCTCTGTGGGGCTTTTTCAGGTGTGTGTACAGTGCGGTGTGTTTGTGTGTGTTTGCTCTGCAAGCAGATGGACTGTATGAGCCCACACACACACACACACACACACACACACACACCCACACACACACACACACACACACACACACACACCCACACACACACACACACACACACACACACACACCCACACACACACACACACACACACACACACACACACACACACACACACACACAAAACACACACTCAGAAACACACACAGATAGTAAGTACCTAGGCATCAACCTTGCAGAGCATTGCTTTTTGCCAAGTCAAGATTAGAAGTTGACAAGTCTCAGCTAAGCTCCCAGAAGGCAATCTGCCACATGGATCTGTGTGTGTGTGTGTGTGTGTGTGTGTGTGTGTGTGTGTGTGTGTGTGTGTGTGTGTTTCTCAGAAGAATAGGAAACATTTATTTGCTTTAAAAACACTTGATGGTATTGGATTTGGCAGCAGCTCATGCTCATGTAACGCACTGTTCCTTTCAGTCAATGTTTTTTATGCCCGAGAGCCATTAACAGCAAACAGCTGGTAGTTAGCTTCAGTATATCAACACAACAGGACGAGATAGCAAGAGAACATAATCGATAAAGTCAATACAGAGCTAAATTGGATTAAACAGATGTGATGAATCTTTAATGACCCCCGAGGGGGGAGGAAGTCAAACGTATTGATCCCACAGCTCCATTATGAGGACTACTGTCACATAATGATTATGTCATGTTTGGACTTATGGCATCCAAATGTTTTTAGTTATATAGCTAAGTTTCATTGTGTAGTTTTAGTTAGGGGGGTTGCAAGACTGGATCCTACAATTCCCACAATGCAACTCAAAAGTATTCCTTTTCATTATGCCCTCCCGACCTGGCAAACACTAATTTTTTCAAAATAAACTTGAACTATAAATTTGGTGCGGCGCTCCCTTTAACATGCTCTATGTACATTGTGCAAACCTGCTGTCGTATGTCAAAATAAAAGAAAAAAAAAGAAATACATTTATAACTTAGATGAAATTACTTTGAAAAGCTGCATTTCCTGTCCTGGGGCACTGTGCGACAATTCAGACCATTTCTTTTCAGCGTTGCCCTACAGGCTTTTGAAAAGAGGGATCACTTTCTCTTGAGGGCCGCTGACCTTTTTGATTCTGACCTACTCGACTTCACCACAGTTACAATGGTTACCAGCTTATTACGAAGATCACAGTGCTGGGAGAAAGTCTCTGTACTCTCGATGTTAACTTTCCTCTATGAGGAGGTCGTTTTATGCAACTTCTGTGGTGCATATCCACTTAAACATGCTGGTAATCACATGCACATTATGCTAACACCTCATGCAAGGAGCCTAAGAGATAAGTGCATGATGTCATTATGTAAAAAAAGTCATGTCTGGTTTTTCCTACAGCTGCAAGTTTCTTTTAGGGCAAGTAAAAACACAGTCCTCCTGGATTCTTGACTTATTGGCTGCCTACTTCTCCTTCTCTCTGCGGATGTCATTTTGCTTTCTCTCTCCCCACTCCATCGTTCTCAGTTTTCATGTTCTTTGTTCTGTGTAGTTGACTGGTAAGCTACGGCCAGAGGCAGCTAAAAAAAAAACAAACCAAGGCTGTAGTTATATCTGGTGGTTTTACTCTCAGCTGAGCTTTTACTGAATGTTTTATTTTTTTCCTCTAATGGTGGAGAGAGAGGAAGGGAGGAGGACCTGGATTTAAACCCACAAGATTGCGAGTACACACTTTGTAGTTCAGTGAGCAGACCACAGATCTCCCAACAGCTATTCCCACGAGGGAGCGAGTCTTGTTGCAGGGCGTTTGTTCCTGTTGCAGGTGAGAGGTTCAGTGTAAAAGCGGTGACCTTCCGGGTGCAGAAAAGGTCGAACCAGCTACCAGGCCAGTGTGGTAGCTGTCAGATACTCACAGCACAGCAAGATCATCCATGTGTTGGCTCTGCTGCTGTGTCTATTCAGACTCTACCTGCATTTACTGCAGAACAAAAGGAAGTATAGTCTGGTGGTTTGAACTTATTTCAATTAGTTGTCGTCGCAGATGATTGGATGTCCGATCGGTCGTTTTTGCAACATGTTTGAACGCGGTTTCTTTGAAGACTGAATGGGGAACTCAGCCTCTGAACGGGTGTGTGTCTCTGTGTGTCTCTGTGTGTGTGTGTTGTGACGGCAGCGCAGACAGAGGGACAGTGGTGTGTTGTTTTGAGATGATGATGCGAACCATCTATTCAGTAGATCAGGGCTCGCTGCCAGTGACGGCGTCGAGCCTGAAGCCATTGTTTGGAGGAGGAGCGCGTCACTTTTAAATCACCATCTTGCAGAAAATGCATATAGATAATTAAATAGCTGCATGACACACAGCTGACGGTGTGAATAATATATAAAAAAATCACAAATTTGCAGATTTTTAGAGTTAAAATGATTTGAAATGAAACTGGGTTTTTATGTGTTTTAGACCTAAATTAATATAAAATAATGATGCAGGTCTTGGGAGGCCTGTAATGCCACACAGACTGCTTGTTTTTACCTCTGTACCGGATCACATTGAAGTGTCTACACTGAATGTAGTGCGGCAGTAATGGTCATATTAAGCATCTTTAAAACTGGGATAATTTCTAGAAAACTCAGTTTAAATAAACGTGATATTAATGTGAGTGACCAGAGCTGAACAGTCGAGCTTGAATTCCTGTGACATCAGTAATATTTGAATGTTTGTCTGGTTGCTGCTGGTTTTTCTGATCCACTCTAATTCAAGCTTTGTGTTTGGGGATGGGGATGGGCACACTACACACACACGTACACACACACACACACATATACCAGGACACTGCTGGCCATGACCCAGTTGTTGTTCGGCATGGTGTGTGTGTGTCTGTGCCAGCCAGGCCCTGTCCTATGTGTGTGTGTCCCACAGCAGTGACAGATGGAGCTTTGGTAAACCCTGACTGTAATGCCAGATAATAGAGCTTGGATTCCCTCACACAAGTGTGCGCACACACACACACACATACACAAACACACATATAAACACACACACAGCTGTAGAGCGGCTGGCAAATCCTTGCTTTCTATATGCAAACACACACACATGGGTGCAACTGGCCATCTCTCTGCTGGCATATGATACCAGCACAGCAACTTTTAACCCTCCATAGCCCAACCACTCCCAAATACACACACACACACACACACACACACACACACACACACACACACACACACACACACACACACCTCTCCTTTCTCCATCCTAGTGCCTTCAAGTCTACATTCCAAGTCCGTCCCTTCCATTTGGTGCATACCAGAGAAGA